TGGGAAAGCAGCCCCGGGAAGGCCCACATCCTACAGACAGTACATAGGCTGTGCGGCCAGGGAGCATGGTGGCCAACACTTTCCTGGGTCTCCACACCTAGACCAGTCAAACAAGAACTCTTCCCCTCAGATTGCCAACTTTGACCTTAGGGATGAAGTGGAAAGCCCAACTCAGAACAAGGTGTTCTGTCACTGGCAAGCTCCCAGCTAGAGGACGTCATTAAATAGAGCTCCTGGCAGGACGGCCTTGGACTTTGCAACTCACAGGGCCATTGTAGGCTGGGAGCTGGTACTCCAGCGAGTGGCCTTCTGGGAAATGTAGTCCATGCTGGGGGAGGTGGTTTCCGAGAGACACGGGGCGTGGGGGGGGGTGATCACAGGTTGCAGTTGTTTTTATCCTTAGATAACATCAAAGCTCCCAACTCAGAAAGGGCACCTTAACCAAATGGGACAGGGCTCAGGCTAGGCCTCAGAGCGCTGAGCTTCCCAGCTTCCTGCCATGCTGCTGGTATCGCTCCTGGGCACAGGGTCCCCAGCCGGCAGAGATCCTGACCCTGGCTGACCTCACCACACTCTTGCCTGTCTTGGGATGTAGGAACCTGCCGGATGTGTCTGCTAAGGACTTTGAGAAGGTTGATCTGACCCGGTTCAAGTGGATCCACATTGAGGCAAGCCCTGCCCCACCTGTGTTTATAGGGCTCAGCCCGCCAGACCCTTGTGCATGGCCAGCCTGTTCCGTGACTTGTCTGGACCATGAAGGACGGCGGGACACTGCCCAGCCCTCCCCCGTTCCTCTCTTGTGTTTTCCCATGAGGGAACTGAGATGCAGAAAGATCAGGAGCCGCAGCACTTGTAGGCAAGGCCCCCTTTGTGTTAAGGCCGCCTCCCCCGGCACGGGCCTCCACTGGCTGCTTAGGAGTTGACTTCTTTTGCTTCTGAGGAAACAGGAAGGAGAGGGCCTGACGGGAATTAGAACTTCCTTTCTAAGGGAGACTTTTTTGGGGGACCTAGGTGAGAGGAAGCCTCGGGAAGCCCAGGGTTGTTGTTTGACTTGATTAGGTTCTCCAGGTGTGTTTCCCCCTCCCCTCTCCATCTCCTCCTCACATTCCCTCCCCCTTTCCCTTCTCACCTCCTCCCTCTCTGCTCTCTGCCTCTCCTCTTGCTCCCTGTCTCTGTTGTTTGTTTGGTTTGGGTTTTTTGGTTTTACGAGACAGGGTTTCTCTGTATCGTTTTTTGGAGGCTGTCGGTCCAGCCCGGCCTCGAACTCACAGAGATCCGCCTGCCTCTGCCTCCCAAGTGCTGGGATTAAAGGCGTGCGCCACCACCGCCTGGCTTGTTTTGTTTTTTGAGACAGGATCTGACTATGTAGACCAGGCTGGTCTTGAACTCAGAGAGACTGGACTGACTCAGTGTCTGAATGCTGGGATTAGAGGTGTGCCCCACTACACCCAGCTTCTCTTTGCTGTTTTGGTTTTTTTTCCCCCGCCATTTTAGGATCTTACTATGTAGGTCAGGTTGGCCGGGAATTCACACTTCCTGCTTCGGTCTCCTGAATGCTATGGTCACAGGTGTGCAATGTCCAGCATCTTTTTTTGTTTTTGTTTTTGTTTTTTCAAGACAGGGTCTCTCTTATAGCTTGGGAGCCTGTTCTCAGACTCACTCTGTAGGCCAGGCTGGCCTCGAACTCACAGAGATACGCCTGCCTCTGCCTCCTGAGTGCTGGGATTAAAGGCATGCGCCACCACCACCGCCTGGCTGGCATCTTTTATTCTTTAGTCTCGTTTTCGAAATGAAAAATTTCGCTGATGAGGTCTCCAAGGCCCATGACAGTCCCAGAATCATGCAGCTCCAATAGGGTTCTTCCAACCCAGCTCCCTCCAACCCCTCTCCCGCCTCACCCAGAGTCCCGTCGGGGGGGTGGGGGTGGGAGAAGGAACTCTTAGCAGCTGGCTCTGAGCCGCCCTGCCCCGCCCCAGGGCCGGAATGCATCGGAGCAGGTGAAGATGCTGCAGCGGATACAGCAGTACAACTCCGAGCAGCCTCTGCCTGCGAGAATCCGGGTGTCCGTGGAGATAGAGAAGCCTCGGGAAGAGCTCTTCCAGCTGTTCGGCTATGGTGAGGTGGTAAGTGCCCTGTGGCTACTCCAGCACACTGGGTTCTTGAGAGAACTAAAGAGGACCCTAGTCCTGCCTACCAGGCTCTGAGCGACAGCTTGGCAGCTCCCGGTAGGTCACAGCTCCTGGGTTATGGTAGTTGCAGGTAGTCCAGAAGTATAATTTTTCTGCTCAGGTGAATGCAATGAGAAGAGGGTGGGGAGGAGACTTTACAAGGAAGATTTATTCAGGCCTAGTGTGTAAAGGGAATTTAGGCGATAATCCTGGCATCGTAGCTAAACCTCGTTGGACACTGTCCAGATGCTGTTTGTTGGCCTTGGTGCACAATTAAAAAATACAGCAGGCTGAGCCCCACTGTCCCAGAGCTATCTCCAGGGACTCTGATGTGAAAGCACCGTGGAGAGAGCCCGAGAGCCCTGGCTGCCTCATTTTGCAGATGAAGAAACCCACTCTGAAGGGTTTGGCTGTGGGGGGAGCAGACAAAACAGAGTCCACTCTTGAGAGCCAGCCTGGTTTGATTTCACCTCAAGATGGCGCTCCAGGCTCTTTTTGGGTTTTGAATTCCTGCAAACCATACTAAAAACACCAGGGCCACAGTGTCACAATTCACAAAGCTGTATTTGGCACAGCTCACACAAGCATGAAATGCGTTCCTGTGGGATGAGTCCCTGTGAGATGCTATGCTAGGCGTTTACGTGGCTAAGTTAGAAGAGCTGTGCTGTAACCTGGAGGCAACACGGGCCGGCAGTAGTGAGGGACTCGTTAGAGGTGTCTGCCAGCCTCTCTCTCACTGCCCACAGGTGTTCGTCAGCAAAGATGTGGCCAAGCACCTGGGGTTCCAGTCAGCCGCAGAGGCCCTGAGAGGCTTGTATGGCCGTGTGAAGAAAGGGTGAGGAGAGGGGATGCCAAGAAGGGCCTGAGGGGTCTGGGGGTAAAGTGGATTAACACCCACCTGAGTGGGTCTTGCAGGGCTACGCTCATCTGTGCCTGGGCTGAGGAGGGCGCAGACGCCTTGGGCCCTGATGGCCAGCTACTACATTCAGATGCCTTCTCACCGCCCCGAGTAGTAGACACGCTGGGGGCTGGAGACACCTTCAATGCCTCTGTCATCTTCAGCCTCTCTAAGGGTGAGTCCCTCAGCGTGCGATCAGGGCAGGGCTGGGCCTGTCACTGTCCCCAACCCCAGGCTGACCCTGCTACTTGTCCCTTCTCCAGGAAACAGCATGCAGGAGGCACTGAGATTTGGCTGCCAGGTGGCCGGCAGGAAGTGTGGCCTGCAGGGGTTTGAAGGCCTTGTGTGAGAGGTGGTAAGAGGCACCAGCGCAACATCCCAGAAGCTGGCACCATTGCCCACCATTGCCTTGTCCACTTCACCCAGCCTGGCACCCAGATGCCCTGCTCCCTGGGCAGGTGTGGGCTGTAGGAAGAACGCCGTCTCTGTTCATATTCCTGTATACCTCCAACTCCATTCTGCAGATACTCGGAGCAAATAAATCTTCCCCTAAGTCAGCGTTGTCTGTCTGTGCGAGTGGTTTTGTTATTGCTGTTATTACTGTTATTTTCTATATGAGATAGGGTCTGGCCATGCAGCCCACCGTTGGTCATGAAATTGAAGTCCTCCCGTCCCAGCCTTCCTGTGCTGAAAGCAGAGGCCCAGCCCGTTTGTTCTTCTTGATACTCAGGCATTCCTGAGGCTTTGACACACAGTCCTCCATCTTTTTATTTTTACTTTTCTTCACTCTTCAAATTAGCCCCACCCACCTAGACCCAGAAGAGAGGCTACACTGGCTAAAGCGGTGGGCATACTCCAGCCACGCTGTCCTCAGGGGAATTTCAGACAGCCCATCTCTCTCTAGAACAAAGCAATGGAAAAAGAGCTCTCCAGGCCCTCAAGCTATGTGAGAGCCTTCTTTCTGGGTCCATGGGGCTTTTATTTTTTGTCCAACTGTCCCAAGTCTCATATTAGAATCCAATCCTGACATGTCACCTGGATCTGACCTCCTCACGAGACAGCAGCGTTCTGTGTCAGGTTATATTTGTGGCTGAAGAACCAAATTGACTCAAGGTAAGCGCTCTGAGGACTTTGAGGCTCCGGGGAAGCCCACAGAGAAAGGCAGTTTTGGACAGAGGGGCCCATGGACCCAGAAAGCAGGCTCCCTGCCCCCTGTGGCTATCACATAGCTTGAGGGCCTGGGAGAGGAGGAGGAAAATGGAGGAGAGGAATGGGGGGGTAGTTAATGCCATCACTAGGAATGGGGAATGGCACCGGTGTAAGGGCTCAGGCACTGTGCTGGCCCGCCCCTGTCACCTGACAGATGCACTCAGGCAGTACCTTGGTCAGCCCAGGGTTCCATGGTTGCATAGTCTGCACGCAGGGAAGACTCCTGCCCACTTAAACTCTTTCCCTCTCTCTTTTCTGCTGTTCCCCTGGGGCAGACAGGACTTTTCCTGTCTCCCTCTTCTTTTCTGTCGTCTCTCTGTCTCTGTGTGTCTCCCCCCCCAACCCACTAAGCTCTGTCTGCCTGTCCCTCCGCCTTGATCAGACTCACCCACCATGGAATCTGCCAAGGCTCCCCATGCACTTTATCCTAACAACTGGGGAGTGGGGACCATCTGATCTGTCTGCTTTGAGTGACAGGAATCACAGAGGTCTGAACAGCAAGTCAAGAGGGAACTTCAGGAGAGTGTTGTTGCTCTCAGAATAGACTGAGCTTACTTCCTGCGCTTGTCGGTAGCTAGCTGTGGCTAGTGGCTCAGCACCCCTGACTATAAATCCTGGGAAAGCTGAATGTCCATCCCTTCATGAAGCTTGTCCAGTCCCCAAATTCTTGTGTTCTGAGGGGAAGGAGCTGGGCGGGCTAGACCAAAGACACATGGCTGTGGAGATTAATTCATTCTGTTCTTTATTGGTTGTTCGGAGCCTGGCAGCTGCCTCTCAGGCTAGGGTCTCCCCGAGCTGCACAGAAAGTCCTGCTTCCTTCTGAGGCCAGAACGGAGACGTAGGAGTGCTTCCCCCCATCAAGACAGGTTCTTACTAAGAAGTCCTGCCTAGCCTCCAACTAGCTGTATGGCCTGGGCTAGCCTGGCCCTCTCAATCCTGCTATGGTCTTCCAAGTTCTAGGATTACTAGCTTGTGCCACCATACCCATGTGAGAGGTGGCTCTTATCCCAACACAACACTCCACCCTTCATGCTTCTGCCCTGCACTGAGGTTTTAAGGGATATGAGCCGTGTCATCGAGTTTATATCTCATCATTCTCCAGTTGGATACTGTGAGTCTCCACCTCATTTGGAGTGTTCCCGGCATCCAGTGTTTCCCCTGGCTGCTCTCTGTCTTCCCCCTCATTGTCCTTGTTCCCCACCTGTCCCTCAGCATCCTCTCTGGGACTCGGGACATCTCCTTCAGCCTCTGCCTGTCTCCTAACCTCCCCTTCAGGACTGACGGTATCTACTTCAGCCTCTGTCTGATGTCCAGCCTTCTGCACAGGTTCCAAAGACTCCCCTTGGGCCTCCACCTGGCCCCTAGCTTCCAGGGATTGCTGGGCTTCTGGTTGCAATGGACCGTTAGCTAAATGCGACTGCCTCCCAGCAGGCTGTGGCTCCAGGAGAGCTGGAGGAAGGGACTCTGCATGCTTGGGGACCTCTCCTGGGAAGTTGACGAGCTCTGCAGGAGTCATGAGCCCATCTCCATCCAGGTCTTGGGTCTCAAGCACCTGGTCTACTACCAGGATCACCTGTGGAAACAGTTACCATAGATATTTTCAGGAACCCAGGCCCTCCCCCAACCGCCCCATCCCTGCTGCATAGGGTGTGAGCTTCCTTTTTTTCAGGGAGTCTACCAAAGGACCAAAGCTCCAAGGCACTAGCCCCTCAGCTCCCAGCCGCGTTTACCGGGTTGATGGGAAAGTGTGCAGCTCCAGGGGCCAGAGCTGCCGTCAGCATGGACAGCAGCTCCAGGCCGTCCAGCTGTCCATTCTGGTCATAGTCGTGGAGAGCAAAGAGGTAGAGCAGGACTAGGGAAGAGAATCTGGGTTAGGGGAGGCAGGAACCCACAGTGCCGCCAGTACTCAGCCCCGGCTCTGTCCCCAGGAGCCTCCTAGGGCCGGTGCCAAGCACCAGCCCCTCACCTTGCTCCCGGTTCATATGTTCCGGATCCTCCTCCATCTTCTCCAGTCCCTTGAGGTAATTCCGCAGATGTCTGTTGAAAAAGTGGCAACTCGGTCAGGTGAATCCTGCCAGTGACCCAAGGCTTGACCAGTTACTATGTACTGAAGGCCCCAGCTTACTCACTGGAGCTGCTCAGGGCCTGGCTGGAAGGGGTTGGACATGAGCTGCTGTTGCACTTCAGGGTCCGTCCTAGAACAGGGAGAAAAGCATCAGCCAAGGCCTAGCATGACAGATTTCCCCAGACCAAAGGGACTTGTCACTCCAAATTCCCAGCAAAGGGAAAACACTCTTCCAATGTCACTGGAAATAGAACCTTACCTTCTAAGACTGTTTTTGCAGCTCCGGTGCCTTAATTAATGTTAGAAAATCCAAAGAAGGGACTGGAGAGATGGCTCAGTGGCCAAGAGCACGGGCTGCTCTTCCAGAGGACCCAAGTTCACCCAGTACCCATATTGGGTGGCTCACAGTTACCCATAACTTCAGCTTGAGGAGACCTAGCCCCTTGTTCTAGATTCTGCACCCCCCCCACTCATGCACACACAGACACATACATGCAAAGAAAATGCCTGGTGAGGTTGAGGCCACCATAGCAGACACACAGTGGAGGCCCCATGAGACAGTCCAGCGAGTGTCAAGACACAGTGTCTTATTGTGGTCTTGCTTCTTCAATGCCAGGATCCAAGGAGCAGATGTCAAGCTAAGGCTGGTAGGGATGCCCAGGTATCCACATACCCAGTCTGCCCCACGACAAGTCACTGCACCTTCCTTTTTCAAGCAGAGGCCATGGGTGTCAGCCCGGACTTTACATCTGCCCAGGGGCTCAGAATGTGTCCCTACTTCTGCACAGGCTACTGTGTGCCCACATCAGCCTGGAGTGGCAGAACTGTCAGGAGCTGATGCAGCCACTCTGGCCACTGTTCCAGCCCTCCAAGGCTCTTCCAGCATCGCTCCCCTCATACCCTCAATCCTATTGCATATACTGAGTCTAAGAAAGCCGTTCTGGGAAGTCAGAAATGTTGTTAACGATCCCTATTTCCTTGGTATTCCCAATGTCAGATTCACAGATTGCAGACCCTGTCCCAGTTTCTAGCTTCCTCCTGATGCTTTACACAGGACTGGGACCAAACTCTTGACTGCAAAGTGATCCACAAGCATGGACTAATCCCTACTTGTGACACTCTGATAATCAAAGGGCAGGAGGTTGGGGTGTGAACACAGGATTGAAGGAGGCTCTATTTCAGCAGGCTCCTTGTGCCTCAGAGGAGTCCCTAGATCTTTCCAGAGACTCTCCCTAGCCCAGCCCAGGGCCCTGTCCCCCTCCTAACCCTCTTACCTTGCAGCTCCATCCTTGGGAGCGGCATGACCCAAAGGTAGCAGCAGCAATAGTGGCAGCATCAACACTTGCATCAGACACTGGAACATCCTTCTGGAGACTGGAGCTGGGGACACAATCAAAGAGTCAGGGGAGGGGTGTCTGCCACAGTGTTGGGGGTCACATGAATCACACATGTGGAAACACGTGGCACAGGAAAAAGGATGCCTGCTCAGGGGGAACTATATATGCACACCAACAACCGTCCATGGACCTTAGTGCGCGCACGCGCGCACGCGCACACACACACACACACACACACACACACACACACACACACACACACACACACACACACGGAAGCCAGGGGTCAACACTGGGGATCTTCCTCAATCGCTGTCCACCTCACTTTTTGAGACGAGTCTCACAGAACCTGAGGCTCTCCAACTCAGGTAGACTGGCTATTTGGCAAGCCCCACGGATCTTCCTGTCTCCACCTCCCAGCACCGAGATTCCGGGTCACACTGCTGTGCCTGGTGTGTGTGTGTGTGTGTGTGTGTGTGTGTGTGTGTGTGTACATGTTAATATAGTTGTGCACGTGCATGTGGGGGTCAGAAGTTGACGTTGAATATCTTTCTTTTATCACTACCCTTGATCACAAGCAGCTTTAATTAATGTAAAATATATTATTATTATTTATTGTGAGCGATGTGAAGTGGGAACGTGTGCCATTGTGTACGTGTGGGGGTCAGAGGATAACTTTATGGAGTCCAAACCTTCATAGATTCCAAGGCTTAAATTCGGGTCCCCAGGCTTGCACAGTCAGTATCTTTAGCTGCCAAACCACCTTCATCTTTTGACACAGAATCTCTTACTGAACTTCACGCTTTCAGTTCAGCTAAACTGGCTGCCCAATAAGCTTCAAGCATACACCTGTTTCTATCCCCCATTCCCACCCCCAGCCCTGTGGTTGGAGGCACACACTACCGTGCTTGGCTTTTTACATGAATTCTGGGGCTCTGAACTGAGGTCCTCAGTAGACATGTTACAAGCGGACACCTCCAGCCTGAGCCTGAGCCTGGCTTTTGTTTTTAAACATGGGTGCCGAAGCTTGAGATGAGGTTCTGGCGTCCTCACTGCGCATGCTCACTGGTCTGTGCACGTGACCCTCATTGCGCATGCTCACTGGTCTGCACACGTGACTGGACCTGGACGCTACAGTGAGTAAACGAAACTCTTTGATCTCTGTATGCCCCAGCGGCCAAAGGGATGTTGAAGCCACCACTGCCTGAAAGGTGTCTGTAGCATTAATTGCTACATTTTCCCTAAGTAGCCTGTGCCACCCTCCATTCCTCTGCCTCTGCCTCTCGAGTTCTAGGGTTACAGATGTGAGCCATGGTGTCTGGCTGTTCGTTTCTTTGTTTTTCAGTGCTGGGAAGCCAAGCCCAAGTCTTCACCCATGCAAGTCAAGTGCCCTACAACTGAAGTGCACTGTCAGACTATTTTTAAAATGTGTATTAGACGTGTGTGTGTGTGTGTGTGTGTGTGTGTGTGTGTGTGTGTGTTTTGTCTGCATGTATGTATGTGTACCACGTCAGTGCCTGGTGCCCAGAGAGATCAGAAGAGGGCATCCGATCCCCTAGAACGGGAATTACAGGAGGTTGTGAGCCACCATGTGGATGCTGAGAACCAAACCTGGGTCTTCTGCAAGAACCACAGCAGGCGCTCGCTCTACACACCGAGTCATCCCCAGCCAGTTTCTTTACTGTTTCTTAAATTCCTTCTTAGAAACGAGGTGCTCTCTTATCAGTAAGTTGAAGGTGTACGATCAAACTGCTTATTTTCCTCCTTAAGCCTTGCAAAATTACATAATCAGGAAAAGATACACATTTAAACAATGAACAGAAGTGAGTGGCACATACCTATAATCCCAGCTCCCTGAGAGGCTGAGTTATGACAGTCATGAGTTCGAGGCCAGCCTCCCAAGGACAGAGATTATAGTCATGTACCACCACACCTAGCTCTGGTTGTTTTTATGAAACAGGGTCTCCCTAGGTGGCCTCCTGCCGAGTGCTGCTTACAGGCATGTGCTCCCATAGCTGGCTCTTACAGACTGCTTCTTAACCTATGGGGGATTCCCATAGCCTAGTCAGGACTGAAGCATCAGTGTGTAATCTAGTCTGCCTAGGAACAAGGTGAGCGCTGGAGCTGCTCCTGACCAGAGCTGTACGGCAGGGTGCAGCGTGCCTTTTGCTGGGAAGCCTGAGACCATTTGCAAGCACCTGCCGTGTATGGAGCCCTTCTGAAGGCCTGGAGGGATTCTGAAGTACCCAGGGGCTCTCCTCTGTCTTCAAACCCTAACCACTTCCATTCTGAGTGGCTTGTTAAGTAATCCTAATAAACCAAACACCAGCCCTGTAAGCGCTGACTTTCTAGCTCTTCCTAGGTGTGGGGCCTACTTAGCCCCGCAGGCCTTGCTGTCTGCTGCTCTTCTGTAGCTGTCTTGAAAGTCTCAACCGCCTTTGTGCCGTGCTCTATAAGTCATGGGCAGATTCTGAGCCTTCCCTATGTACATCAGTGTCACCGTCCTCTTCTCTGACCTGTGAGTCCCTCCCATTTGTAACTATTTAGTGTGTGTAGTGGACAGAAACAAGGCCCACTTTCATGGGATTGCGGAAAACAGTAAGAGGATAGTGAATTCCTTCTGTCACACAGTCAGCCTCTTACTGATGTCCCAGTCTGTGGTACTGTCTTTACACCCACATCAGATACGTCTCCCTTTACTAGAGCGCCATTGCTCCCGAGACATTTTACTGTTTATTTTATTACTGTGTATATGCGTGCATGAGTGTAGGCCAGCGTGTGCCAGCTGCACCTGTGGAAGTCAGAGGGCAACTCTTGGGAACTGGCTCTCTCCTGCCACCTTGTGGTACATGGGGTTTGAACTTGGGTCCTCAGGCTTGCTTGCAAGTACTTCAGCCCATTTTGCTGGTCCATTCAAAACCTTTTTAAAAACAAACAAACAAAAACAACAGGGGCTGGAAAGATGGCTCAGCTGTTAAGAGCACTGGCTCGTTCTCAGCACCCTATATTAACTAACAACTCTCTGAAATCCAGCTCCAGAGGGCCTATGTCCTCCTCTGTCCTCCTCTGTCCTCCTCTATCCTCTGAGGGCACTGCACACAAGAGGCACACAAACATACATGCAGGCCAAACACCCACTCACACAAAAACCGTAAAGGCCAGGGTGCTGGCACACACGTTTAATCCCAATACTTGAGAGGCGGGAGGACTCTGTGAGTTCCAGGCCAGTCTGGCCTGAAAAGGGAGTTCCAGAACATCTAAGGCTACAGAAAGACCCTGTTTCAAATAACCAATGAATTTAAAAAATCCCACAGTGTCTCATGAAAGTAGCCCAGGCTGGCCCACAACTCATCATGTAGCCGAGGGTAACCTTGAACTCCTGATCCAAGCGCTAGGGTTACTGGTGTGCACCACCACACCTGGCAGCTCCAACCCCAAGACCTTCAATGGCTCCTTGTTTTTCTCACAGTGCAGTCCTTACTTGGGCGGCCAATGTCACGTCATCTCTACCTCATCCTCCAGTGACCCATGACAGCTTCAAGCAACGGCATGCTGGATTTTCTCCTGTTTTAGTCTTCGTCCAAACCTGTTCCACCTTCAGCCTGGACCCTCTTGATAGCCTTAGCATTCAGTTACAGCCTACCTCAGAAGCGAAAAGCACCACGTGTGGACTTTGAGTCTAATGTTCTGCTGATGCTTCCAGCCGTTGTTTACGAGACTCATGCGAGGTGTACCGAGGCTGACGTAAGACGACTTGTTCGTACTCAACAGTTTTAAGCCCTTGTGAGAGCTTTTGTAAGTAACAGAAATAGAGTGGTCATTGATCAACTGCTTGTAAAATAAAAAATGATCCTAGCCATTTCCTAGAATTATATCATGCATAAATTGAACTACCTTAACAAACACTTGAAAGTCGCCGAAACTGCTAGTTAACAGTTGAGCTATAATTCAGTGAAGTTACTCAAGTCACACACACACACACACACACACACACACACACACACACACACACACACTAATCTTCTGCCTCCAATTTCTTTAGGACTTTGCTCTAGTTCACAGGAGACCTTTGGCCTTGAGGTTGGACCTTTGGTCATATCTTGCCTCTGCACTGTTATGTGGTCCAGGCTGGTGTCTTAACCTCTCTTAGCCCTGGGGTCTCTATTATTAAGATGAGGGTGTTTCATAGGGACTTCGGGAGGTTTAAGCTAGGGCCAACAGATGCTCCACAATGTGGGGGGGGGGTCTTTGGAGACTTAGCTCATATGGCTTCCCATCTGTTGGATACATTTCTTTGACAGTAGCCCTGTCAAATAGCCATAATCTCTCTCTTGAACCTTCTCAGGACAAGAGCTGGTACCATGAAGGGCACCCATGTCATTTCTGAACAACTCTGACCGTGGAGAAGTTATGTGAATATAGCCATCTTCCTGGATTTTTGCCCCCTAGTGTCCGGATCTAGGGAGGGGAGTCCTAAATGACTGCAGCTATGCAGCCAGAGGGGTACTCACCTGAGCTAGAGCTCAGCCACCTACGATTGGATGACGATCGGCAGCGAGCGTCCTTCCAATCATCTCCATCTACTGAATGAGGAACCCTAGCTAGCTCCTCGAAATCCTACCGGCTAGGGCTGTTAGACCTGTCATCAAACCCAGGGGCCTCGGGGAGCGCTGTGCACCCTTCCCCTATCTGCTCTCAGGGATGACCTCTTCCAGCGGCAATAGGAGGCCAGAGCGCCCCCCATTCCGCTCCCCCAGCCGAGTCCAAGCCACAGGGGATGCGGAGGACTGCGCTCTCGGCATCCTGAGGCATCCTGACCGCTGGCAGGTCTCCACCCACATCCCCAAGGAGCCCGGTATCCCCACCGCTCGCTGAGCCCCAGCCCCTCCCCGAGTCCGACCCACCTGCTGCGGTGGCGCTGCACGCGACTGGGGCTCCGGCTTCGTGCGCGCTATAGGCACCGCGCCGCCCTCGACTGGCTGCCCGCAGCTGGCCCTCCCCCGGGCGGCTCCACGTGGCCTTTCCACGTCGCCCTCCAGCCTGCAGCCGCCGCCCAGGCCCGGGCAGAGTCCGGAGCGAGCGACAGCCACGGGAGAGCCACCGCCCCGCCCTGCCCAGACCTGTCTTGCAGCGCCTCCGCCTGGCCTTGTTCCATGCGGGTCCTCGGTGCGTGTCACTAGGACCCAGATGGAGGCAGACTGGTTTGCGTTTTTGAGTGTGACAGACTGGTGAGGCACCGGAGAGGATTTGTGAGGGTGTTTGTGTGGGCGGCTGGTGAGGCATGTATACGAGGCGTGTATTCAAGAGCCGGAGTCAGAGTGGTGAGTCTGGTTTGTGTATAAGGCAGTCACTGAATATTGAGACTGGTGTGTTACACACGGAGAAATAGTGGCGAGGCGAGGCCTCTATGTGACAGAAATAGACACAACTGGACAAATATGAGGCTGGTGTTCATTTAAAATATCTTTGACTGTGATTACGCTGTGGCAACACAGGCTTTATCTGAGAAACCTGTTTGCGACCAATAGAACATGACTTGCTGTTAGTATGTGCGATTGCGGCCTTCGGTGGGAAGAGCGGTGTGGCCAACTCACGGTCAGTTGTCTCGGAGTGTGACTGCCGGGTTGTCTCGAGGCATCTGCAGAAGCTCTTCTCGAGTTGTTAAAGCTCAGGTTCCAGGGAAGGCGAGCACCGTGAGCATGCCCGAGGGGAGAGGCCGATGGGGCTGGGTGTCAGGAGGAACCTCTGCAGCTGGCACAGCAGTTTGCCAACACAGGAGTCGGAGCTCTACGGCCACAGCTTATAGGTCAAAATGGGGTGTCACCTACTTTTACCCCTGTGGCCAGTCCTTCCACCCCAGCTCGGGGCTACGTCTCATCCACTGACCCAGGAACTTAGTTTTTTGTATAATCTCATGCCTCAGAATCTTCAGCTCCTCCGGGTTCATCAGAACCTCCAGTCCGTAGCCCTCACAGCCACAAGCCACCCAGACTACCCTGCCTGTGGGGGGTGCTGCTGGGCATGGGTGGCCTGGAACCCTGTCCACCGCCTCCACCACGCTACTCCTCCCTGTCCGGTCAGTTAGTTGGTCTCAGTTCTCAGCATGCACCGGTGTTCTTTGGGATTCCTTCCTCACTCTCTGTTTGCTCATGTGGTCATCAGTTGGCATAACTTCCATCGTCGTCTGTCAGGGGTTCACTTGTGTTTTCCAAATGCGGACCTCCAGAACTTCCGGGTTCCATCATACTGGAAACAGGGTAACTAAATGGCAGATGAGATTAGTTTAGATGAAGTCAGACTGGAGTATATAATTCCATATGAATGGTGTGTAGGGGAAAAGGGCCAGCCAAAGAAACACACCCTGACAGAGCCAAAGAAACACACCCTGACAGAGCCAAAGAAACACACTTTGGTCCTGGAATCAGAGCCAGTGAAAGAAAGAATTGCACCAGGCCCTAAAATGAGAGCCAAAAGGCTAAAAAGGACCAGTGAAGGAAACACACTTTGGTCGGGTGGTAGTGGTGCACGCCTTTAATCCCAGCACTTGAGAGGCAGAGGCAGGCAGATCTCTGTGAGTTCGAGACCAGCCTGGTCTACAAGAGTTAGTTCCAGGACAGCCTCCAAAGCCACAGAGAAACCCTGTCTTGAAAAACAAAAACAAACAAACAAAAAAAAGGAAATACATTTTGACCCTGAAACAAGAGCCAAATACAACCCTAAACCGTGCAGAAAACCAACCAATCACTGAACAGGATATCTAGCCATTCTGAGCTCAGGGATTGAAATCTGACCAGTCCCCACCCTGGAAATCTCCCTGGAAAAACTCCGCCCCCTAAGAAGCTCTATATAAACCCTGTGCCTGTTTAGTTTCTGGCTGTTCTGGCTGCCCAGCTGTCCTCTGCCATTCTGGCAGAAGGCAGTCACTCTCCTGGATTCTTCCTTCCCGATAGAATTCTTGAGTGAGGTTTGAGTGAGACCTTCCTTCCTCAGAGCAGAGATGACCCTGGGACCCTGGGCAGAGTGGAGCAGAGCAGGGCTGTAGCACTTTTTGATGGGGAAACCTTCCCTGGAGAAGCAAGCAAACACTGCTCTTCAGGGGACTGGAGTCATACTGTAACGAGTTCACCTGGGAAACCCTCCCCTGCCCGAGCAGAGCTGATGCACTGGGGAAGCCTTTCCCTGAGGCAGGGCTGTAAGCTGCTATGCTTACCGTGACCGGTGCTATTCCTTGGCTTCCGACTGCCAGAATTCCTTTCCATCCAAGCTGTAACACTCAGTATTCTTTGACTCCTGAGTGCCAGAATCCATCATCAGATCTGTCGAAATGCTTACATGGTGTCCATAGCTAAAGAGGAACTCTGAACACACCAGGAATAACACTGCTGAGGCCTGAAGTGTCTCCCAAAATTAACATCTTGGGCTCACCCTCTGCTGTGGTGTGAAGGGGCTCTTGAGACAGGGTTAAGTCAAGGCTCTGCCCTGCACGTGGAACAATGCCTTATGGGAGAAGCTGCAGCTCATACGTGCCCTTTGTACTCTTGCCCTCCTGTTCTTTCCACCACGTAAGGACACGTGAACGGCATCGTTTAATGAAGAACACATCATGACCGACACTAAGCCCTGTTTTGTTTTTTTTTTTACTAAGCCCTATTTATAAGGATTCAGGCATTATGCTGGCCCGCCCCTGTCACTTGGCAGAATGCACTCAGGCAGCACCCTGGTCAGCCCAGGGTTCCATGAGTACTAACTAGTCTGCACGCAGGTGCAAAGGACCCCTTAAAAGACAGATCCCAGTCCACTTACTTTCTCTTTCTGCTCTTTCCTCTCTTCCTGGCTCCTCTGTTCTCACTCTCCTTCTTTCTGCTCCTGTCTCCCTCTTCTCTTCTGTCCTCCCTCAGTGTGGGGACACCAGACCTTGAACAGAGACCCACTTCCCCTTCGGCCTGGGAGCAGGCAGCTGTGAGATAATGTTTACTGAAAACAATTCAGTGCTATAAAGCTCTTGATAGGGCTCAGATAAGGGCTCACTCACTGAAACACCATGACTTTGACACCCCCTACAGCTAGATGCTTCTTCCTGTTCCCCCTGCTGTTTCTCCCCCGATTCTGGGGCGGAGATTAAACCACCAGCCAAGAGGGTGAGAAGTCTGGGAGAGTTTTTGGAGAATTGTATGTAGATGGATGGCAGAAGTCCTTAAAAAGGGAAGCGTTTTTTTTTCTTGGGGAGCTCTCCTCCTAAGCTGAGTTGGGAAGCATAAAGTTTTTCTTAAAGCAACCGACCGGTCTCTGTGTCATCTATCCCGACCACCTCGCTACATTCTCCGATGCAGGCTGTGCAAACAGGTGTGACACCTCAGTGTCTCTTTACCTCTTTTCTCTTTCCTTCTCTCCCCCTCCTGTTGGGAAAAGGGGCCAGTCAAAGAAACACACCTTGAGCAGAGCCAAAGAAACACACTTTGGTCCTGCAACCAGAACCAAAGAAATGTACCCTGACCCTGAAACCAGTGCCAAAGGAACACACTTTGTCCCTGGAATCAGAATCAGTGAAAGAAATGCACCCTGGTCCTAAAACTAGAGCCAAAAGGCTAAAAAGGACCAGAGAAAGAAACACACTTTGGCTTTGAAACCAGAGCCAAATCTGACCCTAATCCTGTGCAGAAAACTAACCAATTCCTGAGCAGAGCTCTAGCCAATCTGAGCTCAGCACTAAAGTCTGACCAATCCCCATCCTGGAAGCCCTATATAAATGTCTGTTCTGTGTGTTCTGTTCAGCTTGTGGCTGTTCTCACTATCCTCTGTCACTCTGGCAGAGGGCAGCCACTCTCCTGGATTCTTCCTTCCCAATAAATCCCTTGGATGAGCTTTGGGTGAAGATCTTTTGCAACGGCGACCCTGGGCAGAGCAGAGCGAGCAGGGCTGTAACACTTGCCCGGGAAACCTTCCCTTGGCAGAGTGGAGTTGTTACACTCCACTCTCTGATACTCGCTCTCCGGGAGCAGAGCTGAACTGTAGCAACTTCCCCCGAAAAACCTCCTGCCGAGCAAAACTGCTACATTAGGCAAACATCCCCAGCTGGAAGACCCTGTCCTGCCTGAGCAGAGCCAATACACTGGGGAAGCCTTTCCCTGAGGCAAGGCTGTAAGGGGCTAAACTTACTACAACCTGTGGTAGTCCTTGGCTCCCAAGCTCCAGGATACCTTTCCACCTGAGCTGTGTAACACTGAGTATTCTGTGACTTCTGAGTGCCAGAATACCTGACCCACTCCTGTTCCATTCCCATCTGACCGAAATGCCAACACCTCCCCTTTCTAATAAAACTTATCAAGCTCTGTCTGCCTGGCGTATTTGTCCCCCTCCTAGGCCACCCTTGAATGCCATGGAATCTGCCATGGTTCCCCTCGCAGGACCTCCTTCCAGCTTTATCCTACCCTTTGAAGCAAAAGAACAATATCATTAGTATCTGATCTTGGACGTTTCACACTTCAAAACTGTGAGCGACAGATTTTATTGCTTATCACTTGTCCAGTGTAGGGCTGGAGAAAATGGGGTAACCAGTTGATTGAGCATCGTGTGCTCTTGCAGAAGATCCAGGTTTGGTTCCCAGCACTCATGTCAGGTGTCTCCCCACCACCTGCAATTCCAGCTCCAGGGGACCTAATGCCCTCCTTTAATGTCCTGGGGAGCTGTACTCACACACACGGCCCCCGAACACACATGTACAAACACAGAGAAAAAGATAAATCTTCAAAAATTTTCCAGTCAGTAGTATTTTATTAATGGGATCACCATGTGAAGATAGACACAGAGATCAGAACCAACCAACCCTCAGAAGCAATGGGAAATACACACACAGATCACCAAGGGACCCACACTGATGACATCTTGAATCTTGTGTCCAGACTAGGAGAACACATTTCTATTAGAACATCCATTGCAGTACTTTTTAAAACTCAACAACAAATACACTCATCACCTAAAGGTTAACAAGCCAAGTAGGATGGCTTATACTTGTAACCCCAGCATTTAGGCAGAGACAGGAGAATCGCTTCAAGTTCAAGGCCAGCCTGGTCTACATAGCA